CCAGGCTGCGGTTTGGCTACGATTGCGGAGCCGAGAGGAGAAAGGGCGCAGGAGGAAGGGATCTTTTTTAAAAGCTGAGGCCGAAGAGAGATGAGGGAAACACGAGGAGCCGAGGGCGGGATGCGGGCAGGAAGCTGACGTTTCCTGAGCGCCTACTCTGCCCAAAGTAGATGCGGTGACTGGTCCGCTTTCCCGGGCGGGCGGGGAGGCTGCGCGCCTCGGATAGGCCACCCAGCTCCGAAGCGGCCGAGTCGGGACTCGAGCCCCTCTGGCTCCCACCGGCTGCTCTTCCACCTTGACCCAGAAGCGCAGACGGGAGCGAGAGGGCCTGGCGGGGGCGGCACGAAGAAAGCAGGGCGCCTGGAGGGGCGCAGGAGGGCGGCGCACCAGTGCGGGTCGCGGCTGCTTTCTGGGGACCCTTGAGGGGACGCAGCAGCTGTCTGGTGGACGGCCTGGGTTCCACCACCCCAGCTACTGGGGCCCTGCTTCAGCCCTTCCTCGCCCTTTCAGCGCCCCCATGTGGAAGCTCCTCCTGTCGCCTGAGTCTCCTCCTGGGACTCAGAGTTGGCGGATCCAGGCTAGAGCTCGGGAGTGCACTCCAGGGCTTGTCCCTTGGATAGAGGGCCAGGAGGGGCTGGGCCATCAGGACCTGGGGTAGGGGAGGGGGGGTAGCCTCCTTGGGGTGGGCGGCAGGGACCTCCCTGAAGGGTGGTGGATGAAAGTGGCCTGGAATGAGTGATCCACACAATAGTCTTTGAGCCTGTGCTTGGACACCTTCCAGCTGCAATGGCTTAACACCTCTGAAAAAGGCAACTGTTTCCCTGGTCTTTGAGTTTATAGTCATGCATTTATTCAGTGATTCGGGATTTACTGAGAGCCTTGCAACAGGGGAGTTGCCCCAGGACAGAGATGAAAGAAACAGACATGCATTATAACAATTTTAACACGGGGTGGAAAGTGCCGTGGCATTTGGAGAGAAACAAAGAATCCTACCTTCACCCACATTTGCAGTGCGGTATGCTTCGGACACTTGTCCTAGACAGAACACTTGAATTTGGAAAAGTGGGTCTCTACACCCAGAGTGCAGGTGGAGCACACGGAGCTGTTGCCCTCTGCGCCCAGGGCTTGTGTGGGCAGATTTCTCTCCCTACAGTCATGGCAGATTTGGGCATTTCTAGCCCCTCAGTTATGCCCAGAGTAACTCTGGGAGGGTCTGAAGGCATCACCCAGTTTCAGAAAGAAATTCTCTGTGTCCTGAGAATGATTCAAAAGAGTCCTTCACCGTGCCTTTGTTAGCTGGCACCTCCCCCACCATCAAAGGACATCCTGGCTGAGCCCGGGGCCCTGGGAGCTATTCACCCTGTCCCCCTTCCTTCTCCATCACCTTTCTCCATACGGCCCTGGCAGCCACCCATATGTGTCCTCTTTGCAGTTAGGCTCTATAAGGAAAGACTAAATGTGCACAGTTGAAGATAATTGTCCACAAGAAGGATTTAAGTCACAGAAGCGAAGCATAGCAAAGTGACTAAGAATAAGACTCTGGGTTCAAATTCTGACCCCACCACTTACCATCTGTGTGGCCTCAGACTTTCTGAACTTCACTTACCTAATATACTCACTTTAAAAGACTGTTGAAATGTTTAAATGAGATAATGCATAAAAGAACTTAGGGCAGCATTTGGCACATTGTAGGCTCTTAATA